TGGACGCTGGGGATGATGGGAGGAATGGTAGAACGTAGTGGTGAGAGAAGGCAAGGGGACAAGAAAAAGAGATGACTGGAGCGGAAGAACAACAAAACCATTTTGAACCCATGGTCTAAAGGATGAGCATTATGGTTAGATACTCATTAGCCCAAGGTTAATTCAGGAGAAGGGAGTTTGCTCGCGAAGGCCAAGTAAGATTTGGCTGAATTGCCGCTCATGAAACTTGAACTGTCCGGCTTTCAGCATCGTCAGCTCTGAGCCCGTTGGAATTTGCAGAACATCAAAGTGGGGTCTGAGGCAGCTGCTGCTAGCTCAGCGTCTAAGAAATTCCTTTTGACACTGCCAAGCTCGTGGAGGGAGAGGATCACCTGCCTGACAGATTTCAGTGTTGCTGGAGTGGTTTCATTTTGAGGAAAGATTCCTGCTACCTACAGATTGGTAAACAGTCATCCAGATTCTAGAAATCTTCATCTTTCCCAGTTTATTAAATCTAGAGTAACTCACTGTAGAACCATCTTGAGGATCCCATCTGTGCGGAAAGTTGAGCAGGTTAAACTTAACTCTACTTCTGGTGAACCTCAAGTCTGTGAGCAGACGAACAACCATTTCCCGAGCTCAAGGGTGGCTCTGTCTATGGTGTTTACATGATTTTGTTTAAAAAGCTGGGAATGCAGAGGCAGTTGCTGAGCTTCCTGGTAAAAGATGCAGGGTTCCCATACAGCACAAGCAAGGGAGAGGGGAGTGTTCGGCGTGGCTGTGGAACAGTCTAGAGTTGCACCTTGCTCACTTTGGCTGTAAATCGTGCGTGTTTTTAATTGTGAAGGAAAATAAAATTGTAGGACACATATGAATACCTGGAAAAACATTTTTTTTTTAATTAACGCCTAATAGGGAAATTCTAATGAAGGACTTTGGAATGTTCTGTATCTTTCTGGGAGTAGAACTCCCGGTCCCAACTCCCTATGCCCCTCATAACAGCTAAGTCCATTGTAACTTGCAGTAATTGGTTTTTTATTAAAATAAGAGACTGCAGTATAAATTTTAGCAATGAGGCTAAAGAGGCATTAACAGGCCCTGGGATCCAGCCACAATTTGTAACATCGTTCCTTTGGGAAAATAGATTCTAAGAGCCCAATAACTAACTTACAAATAGACATTTGAGTCATAGTCCATTGGAGAATAAGGAACTGTTTGTGGTAGTAATACCTTCGATCGGCTTGCTTGAGAACTACACAGAAGGGACCTATATTCTGCCACATGTGTGTAGTGAACCCAGCTAGTCTGGGTTGGATCAAAGATTATTGCTGAGTGGGCACTGGAAGCCCAGGAATTAAAACCAAAGTAGAGGCTGGAGACAAGTCAGGGGTGCAGTTAAGAGGATGGATCTGCAGAGGTTTTAGTGGTAAGGGAGGTGTTCAGTCTTACAGGCAAAGGTGTGATTCTGTGCAGATGATGCGAGAGGAGAACAGGACAATCCAGGTAGGAACGGAGGGGAGGAGTAGAGAACACTGCAAGCAAAAGGAATAGGATACGTGGAAGAAGAAGGATCAACCACAAAACAGACTCTTAACTATAGAGAACAAACTGAGGGTTGCTGGATGGGAGGTGGGGGGTGGGGGAATAGGTGACGGGGATCGAGGAGGGCACTCGTGATGAGCACTGGCTGTTGTATGGAAGTGATGAATCGTTGGCTTCTACACCTGAAATTAATATTACACTGTATGTTAACTAACTGGAATTTAAATAAAAAACTTGGGGGGAAAAAAAAAGAAAGAAAGGAAAACGTAATGCAAAGTGTACCAGGAAGGGGGATGGCCCACGTAGCAACTTAGTAATGTTTGGTGCTCTCTGTGCAACCAGATAGCATGACTGCAGTGTTTCTAACAGCTGGCTGGTCAGCACAGCTTTGGGACATCATTTCACACCATGGTATCTCCCGCTCTAAGATGCCTTGTGCTGCCCATCCCTCCACGTGCTCTTCCATGTTTAGTACTACGCATGTATCTGTCCTGCAGTTACTACATTTTATTAGACAATAAACATGAGCGTGGTTGTTGCATGCTCTCTGTGCTCTCACGTTGTCGTGGTCACAAGCCTCATGTTTTAATCTCCATATCCACTACGCCAAGAGTAGTCGTGCCGTATGACCAGCGGGCTCGAGGAGTTGTCTTTTGTCTTTGCTCAGTCCGCTCTACCAAAAATACCATAGACTAGGTGGCTTCCAGAAATCGATTCCTTGTGGTTCTGATGGTTGGGAAGTCTGAGATCAAGGTGCTGGCAGGTCCACTGTCTGACAAGGGCTCTCTCTTCCTGGTTTATGGACTGGTGTGTTCCTGCTGTGTCCTCCTGTGGCTGGAGGGGCAGAGCGGAGTGAGGTGGGGAGAGAGAAAGGGAAGGGAGAAACTCTCTTATAGCTTCTTGTTAAGGGCACTAGTGATATTGTATAGTGAGTACTTCCCTGCTGTGATCTAATGACCTCCCAAAGGTCCAAATACCATCACACTAGGGATTAGGGTTTCAGTGTCTGAATTTTCGGGGGATATAAAGATTTCGTCCATAGCACTTTGTGGCCTGAAAGTAATTCATCTTAGTATCATCTGTGTTCCCCAGGCCACTGCGGGCTGTGGCAGTGGGGGCTGTCAGGAAGAGGGGGCCATGTGGGTGACTCTGTGTCCCTGCCTGCCCATGTTGAAATTCCAGCTCCCTTTCAGGTCCTTCCCTACACAAGTGATGGAGTGACTGACTGGGTGGGAAGGGGAAGATTGTATATGTCTCAGGAACCACGTTTCTGCCGTTCACAATCTCAGTGCTGGGCACCCTCCCTGCTCATGCCCCAGAGCCTCACACACCTGACAGGTGGGCAGCTGCCAACACTTGGGCTGAGGAAGAAGGGTCCAGTCCGTCTTCCTGAGAGGGCCAGAAATATCCCCAAATGGAGAAAGTACCCTTCATAATATCACTACTGCTGCATATCTTCATTTGTACTGTGCCCCCTTACAAAAACGCCACAGGTGGGGGGCTCCTTATCTCAGGGATCTGTATTCTTCAACCTTTCCCTCCTTAATTCCCGGGAGGGGGTGGTAATGGGAGTAAAGGACACTGGGCTAGACTGTGCCTCCACGACTGGCATGTTGGTCACAGACCAGATTGGCAGAGCTTGCCTCATCCTTTTGAGGAAAATATTTCTCAGGAGTTTTTTCTGTCCACCACGCATTGACCCCTGGCAAGCACACACCTCAGAATTGCCCGGACTTGTCTGAGCTCCCCGGTGAGCACACCCAGGAGGCCACACCGGGATTTCCCTGAGTGGGTGGGATTTTTTTTTTTACCCAGGTTCTAAAGGGCAGGCTGTTTGCACAGATAAGGTAAACATAGATGTTTTGTTTGAGATTCAGAATTATGCAACTAATTAAGAGTGAAAAAGTATAAAGTTTCCTTTATTTTTACTAGAAGTCAGTTTTTCTTTTTAGGACACTCTTCTTTCAATTATGCTTCTGTTATTACATTGACAAAGAAGGCATTGTCTGTGATGACATTTATCCACCGCCTGAAGTAGCACCACTGTGTATTTTCCTAGATGTAGGGAATTCTTCATGCATAAATAGTAACCAGAGGAATAATGGGCTTCATTGAGTGCTCATTATGTGCCCAGCCCAGTGTTAAGCAGGTGGCACCGATTAGCTCATTTGTTCGTAACAAAAAGTGCAATGAGGTACCTACTCTTAGCTCTGTTTTACACTTAAGACTTGCTGTTTAAAGAGGCTAAGTAATTTGCCCAAGGTCATAGAGGTAATAAGTAGAGAGTTGGGACCAGACTCTGGGCCATCGGAGCATAGAACAGGGCTCTAGACCATAGTTATGCCTCAAATACATCTTTCTCTTAAGTGTTGTCTCAAGTCTCTTGTTGAGAATGAAAACTGAGCATTAAGGCAATAGAACTTGTGCCTCCCTTTGTGATAGTAGCAGGTCCTCAGTTTAACTAGAGGTAGAAAGATTCCTGTCCGTTTGACATATTTCTTTAAAACGGTAATTTATGTTATCAGGTGGATAAATTATATGTAAATTTAGTTTAATAACCAAAGGACAGTTGTCCAGACAGAATAACTTCAGCAGACTTTTGTGCTCCCCTCATTAACTTAAACCATATTTTTTATTATGAGCTAAAAATTTCATTCTTAAATTTGAATCAGATATCCTAGTCATAATCATAAACCCACTTGGAAGTCAGACATACTTTATTTTTAATCCAAAAAATAATTCTGTGCTTTAATTGCATCCGATTAAGACATCACACCGAGGCACTTGTTTTGGCTGATAGTAATGTCTTAAAAGGTACTGTTTTAAAATGTTTAATTTGAGTAGATATTTTCTGTAACATGAAAAAAAATGATCAGTTTGTGTCTTCTGATGACCCAAGGGGAGAAGTGGTTTAATCTGAAGATCTCAGCAGAGGATAAAAATTAATCTTTTGTGTATATCCCCTAATACTGTTTGGAGGCTTTAAAGATTATCTGTGCAAGCTGAGAAATGTTTGCCATTTAAATTTTAGCAACTTTATCTTTTGAGAAAAAAAAAAAAACAACACCATCACACATCTGTGTATACGGAGTTTCCTGCTCAGGAGGCACCAAGAATAATATGTATGTAGTATAAAGGAGGAGGGAGAAAATGTCATAAGAACCTTAGCAATTAAATTTCCAATGGAGAAGAATTTGGATGTTCTAGTTCAGCCTAGACTGCAACCAGAGTAGGTTATTGTAAATATCAAATGTAAAAAACATTAATGGGGATGTTTTTACCCATAAAACAGACCTACCAGGCAGTTCGATGGAATTTTAATGTGCATTTATATATATTCACATGAAATTGAACTCTGCGTTTAACATTAGAATGGGCATGTTCTCACTTTAAGGAACTTTGGATTTTTTTCTTAAGTTCTGTTTTTGATGTACTGAACACATAATAACATGACCCCTCCCCCACAACTCTTGTTTCAGGCAACAAGGGCAGCCATTACACAGCACTGCACTGACCTTGGCAATCTGTTGGGCAAGGAGAATGACGTGGCCCTCATCATCGATGGCCACACCCTGAAGTACGCGCTCTCCTTTGAAGTCAGGAGAAGCTTCCTGGACTTGGCGCTCTCCTGTAAAGCGGTCATATGCTGCAGGTAGGCATGTGCAGGCTGTGTGGGGGTTCACATTCCCACACGGTTGTCTCCTGTGTTTTTATTTAAAAAGATAATGCATGGAAATTATAGGGGTAAAGTTTCATTTAAAAAGCAAGCAAAATAAAAATATTAGTTGAACTGTCCATTCACAGATTTGAGAGCAAGCAGTTAGTGGTTTTTACAGTTTTGTTTCTTATCTTCCAAGAAGATAAAAGAAGAGCCAGGACCTCTCTCCTGGAAGATTAACTGGAATAAGTCTGCCAGGAGCAGGTGTGGGAAGTTAGAAGAGCCCTTTGAACTTGGGTCCTTGGTTCTCCATATCTGAGCTCAACTTCCAAGACCTGTGGAATACACAGTTGTTATTTCTATTCAGTCAGGAAGGAGCTTTGGTTGGGTCTGTGCTATACCAATTTTTGGGTTAGGATCTAACCAGACAACTTTGTTGGGTTTTATTTTTTAAGTTTTTATTTTAATTTCAGCTACTTAACATACAGTGTTATATTAGTTTCAGGTGAAGAACATTGGTTGTTTTTTCATGAAATCTGGGAAGGTTTTTGAGGGTGGGCATCGCTACATTCCATTGACTACTGGCTGTGTGAGAGCCAGTTCTAATAGAGATTTGAGAGTCAGAATCATAAAGAAAAAAAACGGCTAGAAAGATCAGCAGTGCCACCCGTACTGTTCAGCAGACAACTTGAAAGGTGAGAGGAGAGCTGCCCATTACTGAAAGCACTGTGGTTAGACAGTACCTGGTACATGGTTAAAGGCACAATCCATACCATTGGGTTCATAATCTCATTTGTGCTTCCTCTTATATTTTATGGTTACACAGTTTTTGGATATTGTTTTCTCGGGTACTTTGTCAGAAGTCAGTTATCAGGATGCTTTTAAATTCCTCACTGCATTAATACTTTAGGAAGGCCTGTTGGGGATTCAATCATGGTCTGTTCAGAATAATGGCTGTCACATTGACAAGATGGTCTTGCTGTTTCTGCCTTACTCAAAGTCCCTAGTGACATCATCTGCGGTGCCTCTCTACCCAGACCTCTCATGACACTGCCTGTTTGGGATGGCCAGTAAGTCTGGGGGAGGGCTGTTTAGGGAAGTCTCTCCCTTGTCTCCCCAACCTTGCTCCCTACTCCCAGTGGTTCTTATTTGAGACCAAATGATTTGTTGCCATTTCCCCGTGAATACATCTCTGTATTCAGAACACTGAATGGTCTTCACATGATCTCTCTCATTTTACCCTCCTCTCTTGATCCCTTTTTGGAATTTGGAACATGTCATCAAAGGCCAAGGAGAGCTGTGGTGGCGGCTGGTGGAGGCTCCCTGGTAGAAAGGAATGGAGCTGTTGTGCTGTGGTTGTAGGATATTCAAGGACCTCGGGGGGGAAGGAACAAATTCACATGTGTCTGAAACAGTGAATGAGAACTTGATGTTACCTCTAAGTCGGGAAACTTGGTGCAGCTAAAAGGGACCTGGGATAGTGAGGAATGACCAAAACACCTGGAAATGAAAGGCTTCCTGGTTTTATCATGGTCTTGGTCTCTTCTTTTTTAACAACTTTATTGAGATATAATTCACATATCATACAATTCACCCAGTTAGAGTGTATAGTTCTATGGCTTTCAGTATATTCAGAGAGTTTTGTAACTTATCACTGCAACCAATTTTAGAATATTTTAATCACCCCCAAAAGAAACCTTCTTATCTATTATTAATCAATCCCCATCCTCCTTCACCCTCCCCAGCCTCCCTCAGTACTAAACAACCACAAATCTGCTTTCTTGTCTGTACACATTTACCAATTTGGGACATTTCATACGAATGCAGCTATATAAGATGTGGTCTTTCTCTGATTTCTTTCACTTAGCATAATGTTTTCAAGGTTCAACCATGTTGTAGAATATATCTACATCATTCCTTACCAGCTGAATAATATTCCATTGTATGGCTATACCATTGTTTGTCACCCATCTTGATTAGCTTTTGGATTGTTTATGCTTTTTGACCATTATGAATAATGCTGCTATGACGATTCATGTATAGGTTTTTTTGTATGGACATCTCTTTTCATTTCTCTTGGGTACATACTGAAGAGTAGAAATGCTGGGTCAGCTGCTTAATGTTTAATGTCTTGAAGAACTGTCAGACTGGTTTCCAAAGTGGCTATAGCCTTTTATATTCCCACCAGCAGTTTGTGAGTGTTCTAGCTTGTCTGCATCCATCCATTGGTTATTATCCGTCTCTTTCATTGTTTAGCCTAGTGGTTGTAAAGTGGTGTCCCATAGTTTTGATTGCATTTCCCTCATGGTTAATGTTGTTGAGCATCTTTTCCTGTGCTTATTGGCCATTTGTATATATTCTTTTTTTTTTTTTTTTTTAAGATTTTGTTTACTTGAGAAAGAGTGAGAGCGAGAATGAGAGAGAACGCAAGAGCGCACAGAGTGAGAGGGAGAAGCAGACTCCAAACTGAGCAAGGAGCCCTGCTTGGGGCTTGATCCTAGAACCTTGGGATCATGACCTGAGCTGAAGGCAGATGCTTAACCGACTGAGCCACCCAGGTGCCCCCATTTGTATATATTCTTTGGAGAAATGTCTTTTCAAGTCCATTTTTAAATTGGATTGTTTGTCTTTTTATTATTGAGTTGTACGAGTTCTTTATGTATGCTGAATATATGTGTCTTATCGGAAATACGGTTTACAAATATTTTCTCCCATTCTATTGGCTATCTTTTCATCTTCATGAAAGTATTGTTGACAGCACAAAAGATTTTAATTTTGGTGAAGTCCAATGTATCTGTTTATTCTTTCACTCTGTGCTTTGGTGTCCCGTCTAATGGCTCCCTTTTTTAAGTAGCTAATACTGTGCTTTCTTTCCTGGGCTCCATTTGGGCAGTTTAGTTCAGGGACATGCAAATGGCAAGAAGGGGAGGCGTTGTCGTGAAACACTCTTTTTTGGTAGTTTCCTCTGTGTCTGTGTTGTGAAGCTACTGAGTAGGTCCCTGATTTCTGTGAGGTCCTCAGCCCTAGAGATTATCACTGTCCCACCCAGAGCCAGAAGTCATGGTGAGGGAGTCCCTCTCCCTGCCAACTGTGAGTTGGTCAAGGGGCCATTTCCCTGACTTGTCGGTGAGCAGAAACAAGCAACAAGAAACAACATGGAAAAGTCTGGTAAACTGTAAATCAAAGCAAGCATGCTCTCACTTCATGGTTTTTCAAAGGGAAATCAAAACGAGTCCATTTGGATTCTCCAGGGAGAGCAGGAATGCCTTTAAGCCTTTACAGGAACACGTTCTTTGCTTGCCAGGTGCTTGATACTAAAGAAAAACATCTTTTTCCCTTTCTTTCTTTGGCTGGGCTTTGTGTGTCACATAAAGCTGTACACTCAAAGACTTCCCAGGAAGGAGTTCAAACTGGAATTGGCACAGAAAGAGGAAATTTCAAATTAAATACTGTTACTGTCTAAAAAATAGAAGCGCTAATTGAAAAAAGGAATCTAGGATAGTGTACTACTTTACCACTCCGGGAGACATTTCTTGGCTGGTCTCACACTCAAGATTTACCAAAAAAAAATAAAAATTAAAAAAAAAAAATTAACACATACTTTTTTTTTTTTAATAAAAACACTCGTGTACTTCAGATGTTGCTTACTATTCACTGAGAATTTAAACCTAAGTTAAATTTAATGTGACTTCAAACATAAGGTTGACCTTAATTCTTACTTTTCATCTTTAAAATGCAATCATTGTAAAGGTTACCCTTTTCTCTAATAATAGAAGAAAATAATTTCTTTTGGAAAATAACTTCAGTGAAATCATGAAGCTCTGTCGGCCATCAATATTGATTCAGAGACCGGTGAATGTTTTATAAAAACTGATAAATACTTCTAAGCTGAAACTGTTTTAGGCAGAAAATGGGGGAAATAATGTAAGAATTTGTTGAATAGTTTGCTGACATTAGACTCAAACAATTTAGCTAATTATATATTATTATACCCAAATATTTTCCATGTAGTTAAAATCCTAGAAAGGTCATAAAAAGGCCAGCAAAACAGGTACAGGTCAGTACTCTCCTGTGGCTTACTGTTGTAGCTGCCAGGCATATTGCCACATTATTTGTTGAGGTATAAACTGATTGGCCTAATGACATTTTTGTGGTAGGCTTGATATCTGTCCTGTATGTTCCTGGGTGTCATGGAATAGTGAATAAGAGTATATTACAGTTCTCGCCTCTCTTCTACTTCACGTTTCATGTGGGCCTCAACTCTTTGAAAGCATGGCCTCACTGAAGCTAACAGTCCCCATACTCTATGACCTCCATCTTGCCATATGCAAAAGAATCAATATTTTTATTGATTCCTCCTCAGCGGCTGATGTCAATGGCTCCCCCCACACAGGATTCTCTTCTATTTCTGTGGCACTTCTTTTTCCTCCTACGTATGTATGTTCCTTATGGGATCTTTTCAGCAGTCTTTGACATGTTATATTTCCAAGGTTTTACCTTTGGCCTTATCACATTCCCACCCATATCTTCCCCTGGGTGCATTCCATTTATTTTCATGGTTTCATTCATCTTCTGTATTAGTGATTCTCAACTCCAAGTTTACACTGAATCATCTAGAGAACTTACACAATTTGTTTTCTTCAAAAATTTAAATATGGGATTATACTATGACCCAGCAATCCCACTGCTAGGTGTGTAACCCACAGAATTAAAAATGGGTAATCAAAAAACTTGCATGTTCATGTTCATAGCAGCACTATTCGCAATAGCCAAAAGACAGAAACAACCCAAGTGTCCATTAATGGATGAATGGATAAACACAGTGTGGTATATCCATACAGTGGGATATTATTTGGATTAGACACAAAGAGGAAAAAGCACAGATACACATGCTACAATATGGATGAAGTTCAGATGCATAGCTGGTGGAAGAAGCTGTCACAAAAGATCACATATTACATGATTCCGTTCATAAAATAATCCGAATGAGTAAA